GGGCTGGCAGGGGTGGCGGGGGAGGGAGGGACAGGGGTGGGGCTGGCAGGGGTGGGGCTGGCAGGGGTGGCGGGGGAGGGAGGGACAGGGGTGGGGCTGGCAGGGGTGGGGCTGGCAGGGGTGGCGGGGGAGGGAGGGACGGAGGAAGCGCCTGGCAGGGAGGAGGCGCAGGCACCCACTGGCGACTGACTGACGAGGGGGAGAAAGTTGCGTGGGAGTGTGAATGAATGGGTGGCGATGATTGATGCGACGGATACAGACAGACGATTGGGACGAAAGTCTAATGAAGACTAATATTTTGTCTGTCTGCTTGTGTGCGGTGCGACCGCTGTTCTGTCAATGATGGATGGATGAAATGAACCATTCATTATGTCCGATGTCCAGTGCACACACCGCAGATCATCAACATCACCGAGTGGCACATCAATGCATAGTCTTCTCGCTTTCTTTCAGCCCAAACCACATCCACACAAGCGGCCCCGCCCCCTTGCCCAACGGTCGCCGATCTGTGCCTGCCTGCCTGCCTGCCTGAGACACACACGAACAGACAGACAAGATGCGATGAGATCGGTCATCACGGGGAATGGATGTGGTGGCCTTTCTACTCAAGAGGCGTGTCACAAGTGCTGCTGCCCCTTGTTCTAGCTGGCTACCGATACGCTCGCTATGCCACAGCCGAAAAACCATAAACCCACCACTCGTTCATACGGCGGCTGGTGGAACGATTGACTGTGGGGAAGGGCACCTGGCTGGCTGGCTGGCTGGCTGCCTTATTGGCTGGTTGCCTGCGTGTCGGGCTTACCCGATGCTGATGAGTCGGTTGGTCTCAGTCGAGAGGCATCGATGGACTCATCGTGGGCGACCGGATGGCGTCGTCGAGGATGGCCATCCATCGCTGCTTCTGCTCAGACTGCCAACGCGGATCGGCCACCTGACGCGCGAGAACCGTGCGCTGGTTCACGAGATACCTTGCAAGACACATACATCACGGAAAGGAACACTCACATGGATGATACCTACCCGTTAGCACCCACCCACGTAATCCATTAGAGCTTACCTGTGGTATCTGTGTCGTATCCCATCGTTATCTCTGTCACTCTCCCACTGCGCGCGACCCAACAGCAGCTCCCGCTCGATGTCGGCAGACAGCACTGCATCGCGGTCAACTGCGCGTGGCTGTGTCGCCACTGCTTTGATGGTGACGTACAGCCGCTTGCCGATAACCACAAGCCGCTCTTCATTGATGGGCCATTGGTGTACCTGCAGCCAGCGACGCAGAGCGTAGAGGCTGCCAAGACGCGGCGTCTGCGGCTGGACCACCTGACACGACACACGCACACACCGATGGATACATGTGGATCGGTGCAGCTGACAGTGTCATCATCATTTGCGTAGACGCACGATATGCGATGCGCACCAGCGTCCTGATGCGAAGGCTCCGGAGCAGTGAGTCCTCCCTCGACAATGGATCTGAGTCGGCTTGTGGCGGACCCTTGAGAATGTCGAGAATGCCCCCGACGCCCATCCCGGCCACGCAGACGGTGTCCACCTCCCCCGCAGACAAAGCTGTCAGTCCATCGCCTTGACGAACGTCCACAGCATGTGACAGCGCAAACCTCTCCACTGTAGACCTGACAATCGACAAGAGGCAGCCGTTGAGAGACGAGGGTGGTGCTCCTGATTGACTGACTGACATGCCCACCTTGCAGCCTCACACGACGACGACGACCTGTCGATGGCGATGGCATTGGGGCATCTCCCTGAATGCACCAGATGCGCAGCGAGCAGACCGTGGTCACATCCCTGCAGGCCAGGGCAGACAGCATCAACAGTGGACGCAACCCTCCCACGACTCGTTCGTGTACTCATCCAAACTCACTATGTCGGCCGCAGGTGACCCTGGAGGGATCAGCTCGGCGAGTGTAATAAATCGCTTTAGCCTCTGCTCCTGGAGTGATAGAGGAGGAGCCTCAGCGGAAGAACCAGCATCCAGTCCGCCACGGGAAGCCGCTTTCAGGCCCGGCGTCGCAACATCCACCGGCATCGGCCGTCTGCTGAACGCTGACGTCCGATATCTCCCACGTGGCGGACCTCGGAGTGTCGCAGTCGTCGGGGACGGAAGCTGACGACCTCCGAAGCGGAACAGCAGAACAAGTACGAGGAGCATCATTAAACCCAACAGGAAACGAAGAAAAACAGGCAGACCGGGCCACTCACACGACATCTTTCTGAACGGGATCTTGTTTCAGCTTAGCAGCTGCGTCGTTGGGAGGGCCAAACGGTGCTGAGTCGGTGGAGTCCAGCAGAGGTGTCGTCAGCTGCACACCTGCATCCTCCGCTGCCGCACTTGTCGAGGTGGCCGACTCCCGCGCTGTCCTGCTCACAATAACACATATACAGGCAGCACGAGACAACCAGAATGTGTCAACAGGCGATATGTCAGCCAGTCACTGTGTGTCCTTACCTGACGCCATCGTCGCCTCGGCCTTCGGTGCTCTCTGAGGGCCTGACAAACACACACACAGGGCGGCAATCAGCCACTCTAAATGTGAGTACCAGTTATGGTTCGCTGACCTGCGGCGGTTTCCATGCTTCTTTCCGATCGCCTCAGCCACCTCTCGGAAGGCCGCCTCGTCGATCACGGAGCCATCGTCGTTGACAAGCCTCGCGAGTTTTCTAAAGTCCTTCCTCGTCAGCTTACGCGAGTCGACCTTGTACTCCACAGGCGGACAGTGGACCAAGAGATTGCCCATCGTGACAGCATACTTGGGTTCCTTCTCTCCCCAGTGGGCGGGAATCAACCAGCTGAGAATAATCTCGAGACCCGTCACGCAGTCACACATCGGTTCCGGCGCACTCTTCACGTGTCTTCGAGACGTGCCCAAAACCTGGGTCACGTGGCTCTAGCTGTTTTGCATCTGAGCAGATCTGCTCACCCATTGTCAGATCCAGACAGATCCTGACCTTCTCCTCGAATTCTCCGTCTGGTGGGCAGCAGCGGTTTCAGGAAGCACCCTAGGCGGCTGGGGAGGGTGTGAGTAAGTGGAACAGAAGTAAAGGCTGATGTGTCGGTGTGTGTTGTGTGCAGCTGTGGTGTCTGGCCTTGGCATCAATGATGACATTGATGAGTCATCGCGGAGAGCGATCCGAATTCGGAAAGGAAGAGAACGAGCGGAGAAGATGTCCAGCGCGGATTGCGGGGTGCGCCTGCCTGCCTATCTGCCTGCATCTACGTGCCTGCCGGCCGGTCTTATCCCGTCGCTTGCTCCGCCTCATTGTCCCTCTGGCTCACTCACTCGCCACTGCTTGCATTCATGCAGTCGCGGCTCTTCACTATTCTTTGTCTGCTTCAGCTGCTGCTGCTGCTGCTGCTGCTGAGCGGCTATCCCATGTCGGTGACGGCACGTGCAGCCGAATGGGCCAACAGGGAGCTAGTTGGCAACACAGCAAACACGACCCTGCCAACAGAGGAGGTAGGTACCGTCACATATGGACGAGAGAGCAGCGATTCGTCCATCAGTCAGTCACGGAATTCTGCGTGCGTGTGTGTTGTGTGGGTGCAGGAGAGTCAGACCCAGGAGGGAGATGAGAATGTCGAACAAGGTATGTACAGATCCACAGCAGGCATGCAGGGCTGCTCGGCTGCATGAGATGCACGACTGACTGACTGACTCGCATTTCTCTATCGTCTGTCCTGTCTGTGTTGTGTGTCTGCGTTTCCTCGGCCCGCCACGTGTGGCAGGCGCCTCCAAGTACGACCAGTCGACGTACTGGGGTCGTTTGCAGCACTTCATCGAGCTGATAAACCCATCGCTGCTGTTGAAGACCTCTGAAGAATTGCTTGAAGCGCAGGCGGTTGTTGATGACTTCAACAAGTGAGATGCAACTACCGAATGAGCCCCCACCGCTAACGTGCTTTGCTTGTGTTGCCTATAGTCAGACCGCCTTGTCACCATCTCGTGATTCGTCCGAGCTCGACAGGG